CATACAGAGCCGCGGACAAAAGTTAATGACTTATTTTTTTCCTGCTTTCCGTTATTCGATTTACTTTTTTTGATCTGCCTCCATCCTTGCCGCCGAAACTTACAACTCAAGTACTCACTCTCCTACATAGATACACAGCCCAATCCTACCATCGATCCAAATCAACCTCAAGCTTCATCGACCGACATTCTCTCCCCTCGTAATACGAAACGGAAAACCTCACCGCCTTCACACCACCACACCCCCGCATTATGGATCAGCCTGCCATCGTCCTCGTCAAACAGCCTCTTCACAACACTCTGCGCAACGCTCTAACTTCTGAAGGAATCAACACCGTCGAGGAGCTCTTCAGTCTTGACAAGCGTGGTAAGCTAGGCACTTACTAATCAATCCATCTAATCAACTACCATCTCACATTCAATCTTTTTACAGACACCAAGGACCACCTCGTTATGCTTCAGACAATCATCAAGTTACAAATCAAGCAGTCAAATTCTGATTCTAAATCACGGCTTGTGAAGGCACTCCCTCAAATGAAGTCTCTTCTTGAGAACCATTGCTTCAAACCTTTCAAGCCCCTCGTCACCGTCGTTCTCGGTAGCGAAGTCAAATCCGATGAAGAACTGTATAATCTTGCCGAGCTACTATGCATGAGCCACCCAAGCCCGTCCGTCATATCAACCCCACCGAAGATCAGCACATCCAGCCGTGTGAAATCGTCCAGCCATCCTTCCGACTTCCTTCCTGCGCTCAAACTGGAATTGAAGGAATTAATGTTTGGCAACGTTCCAGGTCTGGTGGAGCATTTCCTCCAGCAACATCAACTCGATACCCCCTCGGCCTTGAAGCCCCACGACATCTTCATTAATCAAAAGTACGAAGAAAGAATTGAAGACACGTCGGAGCCTTCGATGTTGAAGTGGATCACATCGCTTGTTGAATATTGCTCTGCCTGCCTGAAGAATCAAACACCAACCCAGGTGCATTCTCGTGCTTGGGCCTGTCCTAGCAAGTATCTAAAAGGCATCGAAGGAAGACGCAAGTTAGATTGTGCGATTGTGTCCCAGCCTTTCACGTGGAGCAACCACATCGAACACATTCTGGTCCCTTTCGAGCTAAAGAAGAATAAATCACAAGCCCGAGATGCTGATATCGACTTGGCCAAATATGTCTACGAGATCTTCGAAGCTCAGCCCACCCGAAGCTCAGTCGTTGGGCTTACACTGTGTGGAACCTTTATGCGGCTCTGGCAGTTTGATAGGTCCGGGGCCATTGGTTCCGAATTATTAGACATCAAAGAAACCAAAGAAAACCTTTTCAAGTTCCTCAATCTGATCTTATTGTTTTTAACCTCAAATAAGCGAGTCCTCGGCTTTGATTCGACCTTTATTGAAAGCTATGGGCAGAATTGTACGGACACTCCACAATCACTAAAGGTACAAATCAATGCCAAGTCCAACCCTCAAGATCTTGTTATAGACCGTCCCAACAGCCCCCTCTTCCGAGCCTCGGGAATCTGCGGACGGGGGACGACCTGCTGGCGAGCCCATCTCTTTGGAGATGTGAATCAGGAATTTGTGATAAAAGATTCTTGGCAACCCCTAGACCGGAAGGCAGAAGGTGATATGCTTTGCGAGGTGACCGAAAAAAATGTTCCTCACATGGTTCGATATCATCATCATGAAGACGTTGAAGTGGCCAACCAGAGAGTTGACATTGAATCTCACGTTCGGGCTGGCATCAACTTCAACAGCGGCACCGCATTCCAAACCACCAATGCACCCCTTAATCGCCAACAGCCAAATGGCTTTACCAATCGTGTTCATAGACGGTTGATTCTCAAAGACGTAGGCCAACCGATTTCAACTGTCGATTCTCCAGTCCATCTGTTGGAGGCCTTTGAGGGCTGCATCAAAGGCCATCAGGCCTTGTTGAATGCCGGCTATCTCCACAGAGACATCTCAATAAACAACATCATGATTGACAAGCAGTCCAACGATACGGATCGAAAATCCTTCCTGATCGACCTAGATGTGGCAATTGCCTACCCTATACTCGAAGAAGAAGAACGCTACACAAGAACCGGCACAAAGATTTTCATGTCAATCAGTTTACTTAAAAAACAGAATCCTCATGAGTTTGTGGATGATTTGGAATCGTTTTTTTGGGTCATGATATGGGTTTGTATCCATTATCCTAAGGAGGATCGGCAAGAGTCTTCTGCGACGATCACTGATTGGCAAGATCTTTCCCTGAATCATCTGGCGGACATCAAGCAGCTCCACCTCAATGAACCCGCCCGTCTTACCGCCCTCTTCACCCCTCGATACAAAAACTTCAAGCCTCTCGTTGACTGTGTTAATCAGTTTGCTAAAATCTTGCGTGGGCCAGATGTTAGGTCTAAGCAGTCCAAGGAGCTTTATTTTGAAGTACTAGCAGTTTTTCAAATGGCTCAAGGGAAAAAGCTGATTGAGGGATCATAAGTCTTATGTAAGCTTAAGTAGGTCCACTATCCTTCCTTCACCTTGCTTGGCTAGCCCACTGATTCCCCCTGCCCTACCATTCTTAGGACTCTTTTGTTTCAATTCCTTTGTCATCATTGCCCCCCCCCACCCCACCAAATTTTCCACTGCTTACCACCACCAAACAGATTGTCTAGCTGAAAGAATGATACAAAATTTAGAAGACATGATAAGGAGATACTGTGCCTTTGGACTAAACTTTAAAGACAAAGACAGTTACACTCATGAATGGGTTTCCCTTCTTCCTGCCCTAGAGTTTGCATATAATTCTAGCAAGCATAGCACTACTAATAAAACTCCATTTGAGTTGGAAAGATGATGAACACCTTGGTTCCCATGGGATTTCCTATTAAATAAAGCATAATAAATAATAAATATTAAGTATTAAATACTCAATATGTAATATAATATGTAACAATATTATGTAATAAACAATATTTCATAAGATTATAAAAGGGGTTTCCCACTGGAAGTATCCCCAAATTCCCACTCCTTCAAAGACTTTGTATATATTCAAACTCTTGAAGGACAAAAGGAATAAAAATTATAAATTATAGAATAAAATTAATGTATATTGAATTAGGGTTAAATATACATCTAAGGTAGCCTTAGAAATTTTATTCTATAAACATAATCAATTTATTAAAATTTGTAGGGAAGAAATTGCCACACTATGTCAAGAGTGTGGCATTTTCTACTAGTATTATTCTATTTAAGGAGACACATGATGTAATTGGCTATAAACATGCATCATGATGTGATGGGACATAGAATATAAATTATTTGAAATACCTGGAATTATTCCCATTACATCAGGGGAACAATTCTACCATAGTATACCAAAAGTGAGATTCTAGAATATTCTAAGGAGGGCCTAAAGGGGACCTCTAGTATATTTAAGGAGGCCTTCTCCTGCCTAGGATTGGTTCCTCAGCATATTAACCCCCAGTACACTTAGTGAGTACAGTGAATATTCTCCACCTACTTTTAGAGTAGTCTTTTTTATCCAATCCAACCCTACCTTCTTACTGGAATTATTATTAAGCTAAGAGTTATCCCAGACTCAACACTTAATTAATTACTTAAAAAGTAGTTGCTGCAAGACCACCACCTCTGACTGTAGCCTTTCAGCTCAGGTGTTTGCCAGCTACTTCTTGCGGTAGCAAGCAGCGGAGCTGTCCACGCCAATGGAGGCCTATGCCTCAAGTCAAAATCCCCACGCGCTGAGATTCTGAACTTGGGCTGAAAATCCCAATTTTTGTCTTCATCCTTTTATAGCCGTTGTCTCATCAACATGCCCAGGGTTTCCTTGCCAGGCCATGAAGGCCTGCTTCTTGCTGTTTGTTTGATTCTTTTTGTTTCTTTTTACCTTGTCTCACTATTTTTCTAATTGTTTTCGAATATCATCTCTTGTCAACTTGAGTTACTGATTGCAAGTTAGAGTGCCCCGCATCTTGTATTTTTTTTAGACAATTCAATTTAAAATGATAAGCCTAAGCAATATAACATTCATAATAATAACAAACATCACCAATTGAGTGTTATGAAATGGAAAGTGACATAAATTGGTCAACTTGAAGAGGTTGTCATCTCCTGTTGACCTTTTTCAATACACAGAACCATTGCCAAGATTCGTCAGCGAAGATGAGCGGCGGACCAGAAGATTTGATACCGGGCTCACCAGGAGCCTTCCTTCAAGATGATCTGGCAATCCAAGAACCAGAACCTCCGTTCCCTTTTGAGATCGGTCCCAACGCTTTGGAAGGCTCTCCTTCAAGCTCCAACCTCGATGAGACGCTGTTTGATGACAAGATGAATACTGTTAACCCCGAGGCTGCTCTTCCGGATGAGATAACCGTGTTGAAATCACGAGCTACAACCAAGGAAAGAGTGACCTTGCCCAAAGAAATCCTGGATCTCAGCAACAAAGCCCTCAGGGAGCATATCCAAGCCAACTCTAGAGAGCTGTACGGAGACAAAGCAAAAAGCGAACAAGTCGACGCCGTTGCTGCATTAGTGCATGACCAACATACGTTTGTTCTGGTGGGTACTGGATTTGGAAGAACCCGGATTGCTGAGATGTACCACAACCTGTTTCAACCCAATCAGAAGTTGATCGTTCTGGTCTTGAATCCTTTAGATTCACTGGGAGACAATCAGGTTTGTCTTGGTTTGTCTCTGTTAAAACAAGAACTAGACATTCAAACCATTATCTGACATCCCTTCCTCTTACTTGAACTTGAAGGTGAATGAGAAAAAATCAGTGGGAGCTTCCCACAAGGAGATTTCAGCGGTCAACTTGAAAGATGGTGTCTTGGACAGGAAAATGGCTAAATAAATCATTGCTGGAAAGTTTGAGTTTGTGTACCTGGTTTGTGATTGCTTTATGAAAAAATACAGCTTAAAAATTACAAATGCAGCAAAAAAACTGATTATTACTTTTATTGAAACAGAGCCCAGAGGCATTGCTGAACAATCCCATCTTCCGTGACATCTACTTTGATACCACCTTCCAAAGTCGCCTGAGCCTAGTTGTTGTTGATGAAGCACATATGGTCTATGTATGGGGCCTGGTTGCCAGTGGTGAATTCAAGGGACTTATTTTGCATTCAAGACATGGAGAACGCGGAGTCTTCCGTCCGGGGTATGGTGAACTAGCTGCTAGACTGATTGCAAATAACGGCACTCCTCCGCTAATGATGTCAGCAACCTGCCGCCCAATTGCAATCCAAAAAATTCTAGAATCATTCAAGCTTAACATGGACATGGTTGAGTTTGTTTGAGCTGAACTTACTAGGCCGGAACTTCGCATCTTGCAAATTAACATGAAATACTCCCTTGCATTGTAAGACTCAAAAGTGGTTATGAAAACCCTTTTGCTGAATGGTGAAGGGGATGGTGGAGTTGCAAGCTCTGCTCTTCTATGCTATCAGAACAACAAGACCACCAAGCTTAGCTTGGCAGTTATATTTATTGTGATAGAGGATAGTTCAAGATGAAGCTTCCAAGTGATGTTTATAAGAGTCTGAAGTTATAAATGAGTGATAATTATATTGATAAAGCTATTTGTTCAAAGATTCAAAACCAAGGCGCAGAGCTCTGGGAGCGCTATGCTTCAACCAGTAATGGTATGTGAGGCAGGTTATGGGCACTTGGCACTTTGTTATGATGATGAAAGTGTTATGGTTGTATTTCAATATAATGCATTGTTATGGATGTCACTTGTATATAATCTGTAATGTAGGTTGAGATGATCTGGTCCTCTGGTGGGATGATGGAGGGAACAACTGGCAGGCAGAGGCCTCCTTATATAGACAAATGTGAGGGATTTTAGCCCCAGGGTACAGGCTTTTGAGGCATTTTAGCTGGCCTGAAGATCCAATGAGGGATTTTAGCTAGTCTAGTACATGCAGGTGAGGGAATTTGGCTGGTGAGAGCACTGCCTTGAGGGATTTTGGCTAGCCTACAAGGTCCTACTACAAAGGAATGCATGTGCACCTACAAAGGAATTCAATATTCAAAATGTGCCAATAAAGGAATTCAATACATCACAAAGGAATTCAATGTTCAATATGCATCCAGCATTCAAACTGAGCCATACTAAGAGTAAAGAATCCAAAAGATATCCCGTGATAGGTTGAAATCTGTGTAACTTCTGAACTATGAGAGATATGGGGTCAGCTGTAGTGAGTGACTAGGGGTAATTTTACCTGAGAAATCCATTTCTGATGTTATTTTTACCATACATATAATATATAAAGAGATAATAATAAATTTTTATATTTTCTGCGTAGAAACACAGTATTATTTACCACAACGGAGTTCTGGGTAAATGTTAGAGCATATCCACCGCGGGAGGTAAAACCGGGTTGCTACAACCCCCCTGTAGCAACTCAAAGTTTACATGTGGCAACCCCCCGGGTTTTCTGCCCACCCGTGGTTGCTACATGATCACATTTGAATCTGAAGCACATCACAACAGCTTCACCTCACTGGTGTCCAATCGCATGCAATCGGACACAGGCAAGGTGAAGGACATAATTGTCATATTGGCCGTGTCCGATTGCAGGAAATCGGACACAGCAGCTTCACCTCGATGGTGTCAGATTGCATGCAATCAGACACAGGCGAGGTGAAACAGATCCTGTTTATCTTGGCCATGTCCAATTGCAGGAAATCGGACACAACATCTTTCACCTTGCTGAAGTTGTAGTGCAAGAAAGGGATATGTATTGTGATGTGAAATAGGTATCGGGAAGGAGAAAGGAGAAGAACCGGGGAAGAAGAGGAAAGGTTTGATAGTTTCATGAAGAGATCACAAGGGAAACACTGTCCATGTCATGGAGATGTGAGATTTCACAGGAGCTATTGGGTTGCTATAGGGTTGCTACATGTAGCAACTCGACATGAAATTTTACCTCCGGAGGTAATACTTTTATGAGTTTAGCACTCCGGGTGGGTGGTGTTTTTTGAGTTTGGGTTGCTAGACGCAGGATACAAACCCGGTTTACCTCCCGCGGTGGATATGCTCTTAAAGTTCTATCAAAAAAAAGAGAGAAGATAATAAATAAATAAACGAAATAAATTAGAAAAGGTATGAATACACTCACCGCTGAGGAAAATTTTGAAGGGGCGGCAATATTCATTTGTAATGGGACGGTGAGAGCGCGAGTCTAGAAAATCGGCGGTAGTCAAGATTGAGCCTATGAAGCTTATATCAAATTCTTGTTATTATTCAAGAAGAAAGACAACTTACAAAAGGATTAAAAGATCTCTTGGATTTCAAATCAGATCTAGCAGGGCAGAAGCAAGAAAGCGGTGAACAAGTTTAATCAGCTTGGATTACAAAAGATAAAAACTTACATACCTTAGACTCCAATCTAGAATGACCGCCAAGCGGACTAGTTTTTTTTGTCTCCTTCCATAAACATGCTCCTATCAAGGATGGAGAATTGAAAATAGAAACCCAGAGTTTCAGTTTAGAATTGAGGAAGCTGTCACAAATCAGAAAACAAGTTAGCATGCGCAGTCTTGCAGTAACAAAAAATCAACAAAGCTCCTAAAGCAGACATTGGAATAAGCAAAGAAATCAGCATCTTGATTCTGAAAAATTGAAAATTCAACCCCTCATGAAGGAAAACTGAAGACAAGCTTGGAGCAATTTCCAACAATCAAACAAGGATTTCAAGACCGCAGGGCTGGGATGCATTTGAGAAACAAACTTTTTTCCCTTATTTTTTCTTTCCATTTTTCTTTTCCTTTCCAAGAATTTTTCTGCATATAAAATTTAATTTTTTTTATTCATTTTTCAAATTCAGAGAGCTTGTCTGAGGCCGCAGACAAATAAGTTGGGGGAGGATGTGGTGAGATTGATCAAACCCATAGCCCATAAATAAAAACATTTTATTACACATAAATAGTGTCAGCCACAGAGTACATGTCACAGTACCTTTCATGTACCAAGTAACTGCAACACCTGTACTTATGTACATAAGTACTTATCCATAATGTTGATTACCTTTACCTCTTGTTATCTTATCTTTATTATTAACTTATCTTATTTATCTTACTGTTATCTTATCTGTTAATTACTTATCTATTAAATACATACCTGTGTTATACATAAGTAATTATCACTTACCTTTCACTCCCTTGTCCGTGAAATACCTGTACCACAAGTTATCCCTGGTCTACAGTATTTTCACGGTCAAATATTATTACAAATAAATATGTACATGTATTAAATAGTAAGTATTAAGTGTCAATAGAATTAATACATTCAATACATGCACTGATCACAATTATGACTACATTATTAGAGGATCTGTTAAGTACACATCAAGAGCAACTAGTACATTGATCAACTAGTACACAATTATGATGTCACTTACAGATCATGACAAATAATGATCAGTCACTCAATTGATGTGCTCATTCTCCTGGCCAAAGCTCCCTTGATTCTGAGCGCTCATTCTTTCCCTCCTTCAGTATTCTGGAACTTATAATCCGTGCCTCTTTCACTGATTAATCCCCAGAATATTCAGACACCAGTTAAACCAGTTAACATTTATATTGATACAGTACACGTAACCAACATAAATCTTGTCTACATTTATTGTTCTTAAGCTTCAGTACTCTTACTCAACTTATCCACAGTATTCATAGCCTTGCTGAATATTCCCATCAACAATACCTGTTAATCTTCAACTAATTTTGTTAAAGCTTAATAAGTATTGTTAGCCCATTCCCTTTTGGGAATAACCAAATCAATCCCAGGTGAGTCTTAGTACCCTGGATGCCTATTAATACCTTGTATTGATCCGGATGGGCTGTTGATAGCAAGCCTCTCAGTAAAGACCATACTGATAGAGTGAAACCTCCTCTTTACAGGACTGGTATTAATCACCCACTACCTAACACTCACCACGCTCAAAAAACTTCAGTCAACTCCGGATTGAACAACCTTTTTACTATTAAATACTCAGGTTAGTACCCAGAGGCTGACAAATAGTAACTAAAATATTAGAGAAAAAGGGGTAAATTACAGAATAAATTGCATAAATATTATTGGGGTTGAATCATAGTTACATTAAATCACAAATCAGGCCTAAAATTGACCAATTTTCTATGAGTAATAATTATACAAATAGCCTGTAGAAATATATAAAAGACACTACATCTATCTTAGACTGGTAAATCAAGCTACAGGTCAGAAAGTACTTCACAGACTAGCTCCAGAAAATAACTCTGATACTAAATAGTCTAAGAATACCATTCTCATAGCAATTAATCTAAGAATAGACCTCATATAGTAGAAGTACAACCTCTTGTATTAGAAGGGCACTTAGATATTAATTCATATCAGATTAGTCCATCTCAGAGTAGTAAAATCCACTCTAGAAGTACCCTTCTCAGACGCACTTGTGTTCAGGCCAAAAGCTCATGTACTGCAGAACCAGTTGTCTATAAATAGAGGCTCTTCTGCCCATGTTTTCTTCCCTCCTCATGCTAGCTACAGAATAGTAATCAGAGACATTACTCAGCTTTCATCAACCCTTGATTAAGAAATACAGAGAATAGTAGAGCCCTTGAACAACCCCTACCTTATATTTTGGCCACAGGAAAGTAATTCAGAAATATTACTTAGCCATTCTCACCTCCTTGAAAGATATCAGAGAAATAAGCATACCAATTATCAGAGCCCAGAGAAAACAGAGAGTCTTATTAGATCAGAGAACCGGAGAGAACATATAACAGATTTAACAGAACTACCCTTCAGAAACCCTTACTCCTCAGAAAACCCCACAACCTCCTCACCTCTTAAAACAGGTTTTCTTAAGCAACAATACTAGTAGTATCAACACTAAGATAAATTTAGAAATAAGTGTTAAGTTTTCAACTCTTTGGCTACTCTTTCCCCTAAATTTTTCTCCTCTTTTCTTTCTTGAATCATCTTGACTTGGACTGAATTATCCTCAATCATAGCTGTTTTTTGTCTTGAATCTTATGCTCAATTGTAGTCTAATTAGAACTAATCATGGCAATTTTCAAACAACTCTAGTCTTATTGATTGATGTCTTTCTTTTTCTAGCTCACTATTTGATTCTTTAAAAGCTAATTATTTGGAAGTAACGCCTCTAAATATTTGTGGTAGAATTTCTGATTTTTCTTGATTAACTTTTCTTGTCTGACTAAAAGAGACTGAGAAGTCCGGCTAAGACTGTTTCTTCCAAGACTTCAAATTATTCTGTCTCTTAGTTTTTATTCAACTTTCTTTTTTATTCAATTTGCCTCAACCACAGTTTGATCACATGTATTTAGTCTATTTAATCTGGCTATTTACCTGTGAATGAAAACTATTGGTTCTTTCATTCTTTTTCCGCGAACCTTTCCCAAAAAAGATCCTCAACCTTTTTTGTGCCCTCTTCTCAAAAATCCCAACTTCAACCGGTCAAGAGCTCAAAAAATCAACACGATTAACAGTCGAAGACTGCTAACCACCGCACATCATGGAAAGTGGATCTCGACTCGAATCATCTCGATACCTGCTTACCTCCGACAACTACTCCACCTGGATTGTGTCGATTGAAGCAAAACTTGAAGATATCAGAGCTTGCGAACTGGTTACCGGATTAATCAAGATCGACGAAAAAACCACTGCGGATGAGCTCGCCAAATACTCAATCATCAGTCGCAAGGGTTATTCAAAAATTATCCAGAATCTTGATGCAACCAACCTCGCCCTTGTCAGTACCACATTACCCGAAGAAGAAAAATTCAACGGCCGAGCTCTGTGGAGATTATTGAAGAACAAGTACGCTGGCTCAGACCTTGTTGCTCGCTCGACTGCTCTCAATCATTTCCTTGACCTTGAATACACCGATGTTGGATCCTTCTGCACTGCCATACGACTAGCCAATCAACGACTAGTTCTCGCCAACGTACTCCGAGATGATCAAGTAAAAATCATGATCATGCTTCGCAAGCTCCCTCGCGTCCAATACCAATTGTTTCGAGACATCATCGCCATGGGTTTCGCCACCAAAACTTTTGAATCAGCCGTCAAACAGCGGTGGGCAGATACGTTACGGTACGTTACAGCAGGGGATTTGGAGAACGTAACTTTTTTTTAGTTATCCAAATCTGCTGTTTTTGTAAAGTAACTAAATTTGCTTGTAAAGTAAAGTAACGTAACCAATTTTATTTTTTCCATATATTTTTTTGGGGTAACGTAACTTACTTGGGGGGAGGGGTGTTGTGAGAGTTTGAAGGGCTCAACCATATTGCATATAGCTTAACGGTCAAAGAGTGCCTCACATGCACAGTGAACATGTGAAGGTTGTGGGTTCAATCCTCACACCAGACATCTTTTGACCTGGCTTACTGGTGAAGTGATAATCGCTGGTTGGTTTATGATCATATTGGGCAAATTATCTTGCACTTAATGAACAAAACCATCAAGAATCAGTGTATCACCAGCAAAGTTACCCTTAAGTTATCCAAATATTGGAAATTCTGTAACGTAACCCTGTTTTGTTCAGGATTTCTGGGAACGTAACTAGAAAAAAAAGGGGCCTTTTGCTCCAGCAGATATCGTAACTGAAATAAAGATATCTGTAACTTGAGGTTAACGTAACTGTAAAGCTTACGTTACAGTCAATGTTATCCATTTGGGTAACGTATCTGCCCATCGCTGCGTCAAACGACTCAAGTCGTACGCAATCTCAAACAACATAAAGAAGGAATCATTCGCTTCCTCCTCCGATCAAGCCACCATGATGACCAAGGCCAACACCTCCAAATCAGCTGGTGCCTGCACTCACTGCGGCAAGAACGGTCATCGACCGCACAACTGCTGGACGAAGTTTCCGGAGAAGGCTCCAAAAACCAAGTCTGCCCACCTCACACTTGTCGATGGGTACAACCAGCTCCAAAGTGTCACCAACTGGTGCACGCTTCCAGATGGAACTCGCATGAATGCCGACAACGGTGGGCCAGCTACACTAACCGTAGCGTTAGTGTAGCGTAGTGTAGCTAAAATAAGCTAACATGTAGCGTAGTGTTAGCGCAAATCTGAAAATTTGCACTAACACTACGCACGCAGGGCGCCAGTGGGTGTTAGCTGTTAGCGTAGTGTTAGCTTTATTTCACTCATCCACACTAACACTACGCCCATGGGGCGCAAAAAAGCATCCGCTACACTAAGCTACAGCGCTTTTTAGCGGTTTTTTGGCCTTTTTTGCCGCTAACAGCGCTGTAGCGTAGCGTAACGCAGCGTAGTGGCTGTAGCGGTGCACTAACACTACCCAAAAAAAGGTGTGTTGTTAGCGCCGCTAAAAGTTAGCGTAGCGTAGTGGGCTGTAGCGCAAACTAACACTACACAAAAAAAGGTTGCTGCAACAGCAGCTACGCTAACGCTAAATGGCCATTTAGCGTAGCGTAGCGTAGCGGCCCACCGTTGATGCCGACGACATCAGCTTTGATTCCCTTCGAGGCATGTAGAACTCATCTCATCTTCTCAACTCGCATCGGACGACCTCAACTCGTCCTT